AGCAGGGTCCCTCCAGCAGGTGGGGTCCCTCGGCCTGGCCTGCAGGGACCAGGCCAAACTGGCTCTCCAACATCTCCCAAAGGGTCCTGGAGTGCGAGAGGGCACTCTGCAAACTTGCTGTCACTCAGCAGCTCCTGCATTGAGCATCTGCCCCCTGGTGGTCAGTGAGCGTCATACCTACCAGCCGGTCAGGCAGTCAGTCGGTCAGATGGTCACTTAGCCTTCTATACAAATATATAGATAGGGAAGTTAGTACCCCTTCACCTATTTTGCCCACCATCTCCCCTCTCTGATAACCACCAGTTTGTTTTGTGTATCTCTGAATTTGTTTCTTTTTGTTTTACTTGTTCTTTTGTTTTGTTTTTCAGATACCACATGTAAGTGAAATCATATGGAATTTGTCTCTGTCTGACTTACTTCACTTAGCCTAACACCCTCTAGATCAAGCATGTCAAACCCAAAGGCTAACACAGGCCAAATAAATGAGGCAAGTTTGACATGCTTGCTCTAGATTAATGGTCCCCAATGGTTCCCCCGGGGCAGGGGCCGGCAGGAAGGGGGGCAATTTGATTTCTAAAGGGGAAAATTTGAGAATGAGTTATTACAGTGAATTTTTTGCATTTTTATGGTTCTACGGGCCTCATATACAGTATATAAATATATATTGTGACATATTTATGCATTTCAGTTCTCTATTATATGTTTTGAAACTTTATTTGCTATTTTTCCATATCATTTCATATTATTATTTTAACAATTTCTCAGTACTTCAACTGTCCTTTCGTTCTTTGATTTTTCTCTTTCATGGATGCCATGTTCTTTAGAAGCTTGTTTAGACCAAGTTAACTGCCTTTTAGGCTTCCTCCACGTGAATAGGAATTCACTTTTTAAATAATAAGAATTATATGTCACAGAAGAGACATCAGGATTTTAGAGATGCTTAGGTGGGGCATGGCCAAAAAGGGTTGGGAACCACTGCGCTAGATCCATTCATGTTGTCATAAATGGAAATATTTCATTCTTTTTATGGTTAAATAATATTTCACTGTATATTACATTCATCTACAAGGGCACTCAGATTGCTTCCAGATCTAAGATAATAATATTACTAGTATTATTATTTTAGGTAATAACAATGAAATATGTTATTTTTCTGGGCTTCCTGATGTTTGATATATCTGTAAGTTTTTGTAAGCCTGTGATTGGTTGCAATTTTTTTTTCATTCCAAATAAATATTCACTTCCAGACCTAATTTTGTGTTCATAGTTATGCATTGTTTTTCTAAATTACGGTTCCCAAAATTGTTCAAACTCCACAAAACCTGGACCTTTAGCTGCTTGGCTCCATCACTTCCAACTCAGCCCCTGTGAGCCTGGTGTCATGTTTAGGAAAATGGCATAAGCAATTCTGCTGTTCTCCTTCCACAGGGTTGCTCCAAGAGAAAGATCAAATAAACTGATGAGCATCAAAATACTTTGTACACTCCTGACCTTTAAAGAACTATGAGATTTTATGATTATCATCAATATTGAAATATTGAGAATGTACTGAAAAGGGTGGGATATAAGGAAGTACATTAAGGAAAAAGATAAATAAATTACCACACTTTCCTCAACAAATGAAATCTATGCAGCATGACTTGCTTTGAGGGGAACATGGGTAGACTGGAAAGTACCTGGAATAAATCAAACTGACCCTCCAGGATGGAATCTTGAAGGGATGCTTCACATTAATTAATTTATTGAAGAACAAGTGACAGGATAGGAAATCGGGGAGAAGTTACTCTAATAGGTGGGTCCAACTCTTCTCAGCGAGGGGATAAAGGATGGGAAGCTGGGGGACCAGGGTTTGACTACATGATGGCCAGAATAAAGGAGGCCAAGAAAGACAACCATGCTTATGGATATACTAGAGGCCCGTTGCAGGAAGAGATTCGTGCACTAGGCCTTCCCTTCCCCTGGCTGCCGGCACCGGTTTTCCTCTGGCACCCAGGACCCAGGCCTTTGCTGCTCCGTCCGGAACCTTCTGTCTTCGCTCCGCCACTTCGTGCCTATGTATGCAAATTAACCACCATCTTTTTTGGGTAAATTTGCATACTCTCCTGATTGGCTGGTGAGCGTACCGGAGGGACGGTCAGTTTACATGTTTGCCTATTATTAGGTAAGATTGCAGATTACTGCTGGGAGTTCTCTTTCCAATCCATCCCAGCAGAGAGAGTAAAAGATCAACAAACCCTCACTTTCTGGTAGGGCTACACCAACTCAATAAGGAGACTTGGGAGACAGAATGGGGTTTTTCTTTCTTTCCCCTGGGAGGATGCTGAATATGAATAATATATCATTCATAGACTTAACATGAATGCACTAACAATAGAGCATCAAAATACTCAAGGCTTTATGGACATATATAGATAGGGTGAAAGTGAAGAGAAGGGAAAAGATATTCCAGGCAAATGTAACCAAAAGACAGCAAGGATGGCATATTTGTATCAGCTAAAATAGACTTTCCTTCAAAATCTGTCACAAGAGCCATGGTTTGTGTGACTCGGTTGGTTGGAACACCATTCTGTACACCAAAAATGGTGGCAGCTTCGATTCCAAGGCAGGGCACATACCCAGGCTGCAGGTTCGATCCCCATTTGGGGATCTCTCCCTTCCTCTGTGTAGAATCAGGTTTTATTTAAAATCTGTCATGTCCAGCTGGTGTGGCTCAGTGGTTGAGCATCTACCTATGAACCAGAAGATCACAGTTTGATCACCAGTCAGCCCACATGACTGGGTTGTAGGCTCAAACCCCAATGGGGGGCTTGCAGGAGGCAGCCAATCAATGTTCTCTCTCATCATTGATGTTTCTATCTCTCTCTCTCCTTCTCCCTTCCTCCCTGAAATCAAATAAAAACATATTTTAAAAGTAAAAAAACAAATTAAAAGATTTTTAAATCTGTCACAAGAGACAAAGACTGTCACTATACAATGATAAAGGGGTCAATTCATCAAGAGGGTATAACAATAGTAGATAGATATGCACCCAATAATGAAGCACTTAAATATATAAAGCAAATATTAACATATCTGATGGGAGAAATAGACAAAAATACAATAATAGAGATAGTAGAGAAATTCAATGCCCCATTTTCAATAATGGATATATCATCCAAACAGATAATCAGTAAAAAAATAAAATAAAATAAAAATATTGGACTTGTACTTTAGACCAAATGGACCTAACAGAAATTAATTCTCAAATGTACACAGGACATTCTTCAGAATGGATCATGTGTTGGACCACAAAACAGGTTTTTTTTTTAATCAAAAAGATTGAAGTAACAATAAATATCTCTTCTGACCATAATGGTATGAAACAGGAAATCATTAACAGGAGAAAAATTGGGAAATCCACAAGTATGTAAAAATTCAATAACACATTCCTGAACAATTAGTGGATCAAAAGATAAATCAAAAGAGAGATTAGAAAATATCTCAAAATAAATGGAAATGGAAAATACTAACCCATATGCAGCAAAAGCACTTCTAAAATTGAAGTATTTATACAACATCTGACAACATAAGAAAAAAGAAAGATTCAAATAAACAACCTAACTTTACACTGCAAAGAACTAGAAAAAGAAACTGCATAAAGTCAACAAAAGAAAAGAAATAATAAAAATGAGAGCAAAAATAAGTGAATTAGACAATAGAAAAGATCAATAAAACTCAGAGTTACTTTTTGTAGAAGATAAATCTTAGAAACTTCTAGCTAGACTCTCCAAAAAGGAGAGTGAGGTCAAATGAATTATGAATGAAAGAGGAGGCATTGCAACTAATACCACATAATATAAAGATACATAAGAGACTACTGTGGACACTTACATGCCAATAAATTGTAATCTTGAAGAAATGTATAAATTCCTAGAAACACTGACCAAGACTGAATCATGAAGAAATAGAAAATCTGAGCAGACCACTAGCAAGTAAGGAAATTGAATCAGCAACCAAAAAAATTTCAATAAAGAAACACTCAGGACCAGATTGCTTCACAAGTGAATTCTGCCAAACATTTAAAGAAGAATTAATACCAATACTTCTCAAACTCTTCAAAATTAAAAAAAAAAAAAGATTTATTCAAGCGATTTAAGAGAAGGAACATACAGTGGAGTAAAAAAAAAAAAAAAAAAGAGCTGCTCAGAAATAATCCCGCATACATAAGTGAAGTTATCATACAGCTGAATACAAGAGGAATCCATCAATAAATGGTCTGGAACTATTGAAAAAATGAACCTTGACCTTTATTCCATACCTTACCCAAAATAATCAACCTCAGGTGATTTAAGAGTGTCAATGTGAAAGTCAAAATTTCAAAAGTCTTACAAGAAAACAGAACCAAAGTATCCCATGTTTCCAGGTAATAAAGTATAGTAAATTCAAATCTCGTTTCCACGACATAATACATGAGTGACCTTGTACATATAACTTAACCTCAGCTTCTCCTTCTTCATCTGTAATGATAATAATTTTGCTTACCCTATTGAGGTGCATGTGAAAATTCAATGATTTAGTATGTATATTGCTTAAAACAGTGCCTAGCAGGAAGAAAGTATTGTACTATAAGGGTTAGTTACTATCATTATTATTATTATTGTGCTCATTACATGCTTTCTGTTGCACCAGGATCAGTCTCTCCCTTGTTGTAGAAGGTTGAAGACAGGAAAGGAAGCAATTCTTTTTTGCCCTGATGGTTCTACCCTCCGTGGTTAAATATATACAGAGGCTCCTAGTCCTTTAGTTTCTATGGTTTCTACATGAACATGGGACTCACTATCAGGGGTCTAATCAGCCTGGGACCTTCAGCTTCATAGCTGGGTACCCAAGCATTCACTGTTCAATTCAACACCTAGTAATGCCCAGCCCTTGGGGTAAGTGGACTCAGCCCTCTCAAATATCAAGCCCAAAATACAATATCAGTGAATACCAACACTCTGCTACCCGTTGCTTGCTGCGCCATGAAGCCTGCTGAGTTGAGATTTCTTCTAGAGCTCTTCGTCTTCATCTTACTGGCTACCCCATTCATGGGTGGTGTTGTTAGACTTACTGAGCGGATATGTGGAGATCTCAAAGGTACAAACTTGAAGTAGAATATAAATTCAAAGGACAATTATGAATGAGGGAGGAAGCAGTAGGGGGAAAGTGTTGGTTCAGGAAGTTCCTCCTTTTGTGTCAATATCCACAGGCATTTAGTCCTCTGATTCAGGACACTACTTACTCTAGGCGTCTCGTGGATGTCTGATGAGAAGAAAACAAACTAGGGTGCCAGTAAGTCCTTTGCAGTGAGGTTCTCTTTTATAGGGGCTCCAAAGATTAGAAGTATTTTGAGTTAGGGGTTTCATGACAAACTTCAAAGGTCCCAGACCAATCAAGAGTATGTATTGAGATTAGATGAAAAGGAGGTTGAAACTGAAAAAAAAAATGAGGCATTTTCAATGTCTGGGCTCTGGACACATAAAGAACATTTGGACAAATGGCCCCTGTTTAGAGGAGCTCACAATGTGGAGGTGAAAGGCCATGAAGCTTTCTTCTACAGGTAATGTGTACAGACTCGGTGCTTCCAGAACATGGGAGGTGGTACAGTCTACACTGGCAGAGAGCCCAAATTCCGGCCCTGCCACTTAGCAAATGTGTGCCCTTGGTTGAGTCAATCACTTACGATCCCTTAACCTCAGTTCCCCTTGTGTAAAATGTACATCAAGGCAATGCCTGCCTCAGAGGATGTTTGTATGAAATGATAGTATGCATGTAATTGTACCTAAATAGCTACTTTTACCAGAGAGTAAACTCCAGGCTGGCTACTTGGGTAAGATAAACAATAATCTCTGAGTTGCCAATACAACCCTCTTGTTGCTATTTTGGCCATTGCCTATGTGACTCTTGTCAATAAAAACAGAAGGTTTGTCTCTGGGAAGGCAACAGGGGGAAAGATGACAGGATCTGAAAGCAAGAATATCACCCTCAAGGTTATTCATCTTGATTTGTATCTTGCTTTGAGGACAGCAGCAGGCACAGTTACCTGAAATTTGGGGTGCAGATAGGATAGTGAATATATGAAAACTGGAGAGTCAGCATTCTCAATTATATGTCCTATGTGTGCAGTTAAGAAGAGAGAAAGATGAAGGTACAGAAAAGCAGGAGATTGTGCTTTGATAAAAGAAATAAAATGAAATGGGACCCATATAACTTAGCACAAGCTTCTGGCAGAAGCTCCTTTTCCACTGCTCACTATTTCTCCCAGTCACTGCCAAAACTTGGAGATGTAATCAGCTTCCATGTCCAAGGGCAACCTTACCAAGTAATCCTAATTCCAAGAGAAAACCAGATGTCCTTCGGTGATTTTGAATATGGGAATATTTCCAGATTAATGTGAGGAATTTTTAAGGGCCCATGAAAACAAGATCGCTTGCTGAGTCCTAACAAATTCCCCCAACTCAATGAGAACCTCTCGTGCAGATCCCTGCTTTATGGACCTGAAACCTGGCAGCTGCTATGAAATCCACTTTAAATATTTCTACAACTACACCTCCAAAAGATGTCAAAGTTTCATCTTCTCTGGCTGTGATGGCAACCTTAACAACTACAATCTTAAAATAGATTGTCAAATAGCCTGTGAGGAAGAGTACAAAGTACCGTAAGGAATCCAATTTTGTCCTTTGTCCTTGGGGAGAGGAAAAGGAGAGACCTGGGACCCCAAGATAAACCCTGATTTGGGAAGGGGAAGAGGGAGAACTGTCTTCACAGAAAGGTTTTATAGTTGGGTTGAATCTCAGGGTCATTTGTCATTTTGCAGTTAGGACATCAAAAATCCAGAGAGAAAATAATAACCATTTATTGGACAATTACCCTGTGCCAGACATTGCACTAAGCAATTTACGTATATTGGTCCAAATTAAAATTAAAGTCACCCTAAAGTAGTTATTTATTTATTAATAATAAAGTTATTATTTTTATGTGGCAGATGAGGAAACCAAACCGAGCTGAGGTAACTGACTGGCCCAAGGTCACATTATTAAGTGGCATAAGAAGGTTTCTAACCAGATCTGATGGTCACCCAGGACTTGACCATCCTACATGCACAAGGTTACCCAATCCTAATCATCATACTCTCAGACCCCTAAACTCTCCATAGCAACATGGTGCTTTATATAACTAAGCTGGCTCCCAGCCCACATTTGACCATTCCCCAGTCACAGGAACTAGAAGAAGAGCGCGAGAGGGCTATGGTATGGCTGATTCCCAGGAGAGGGAGATAGGGAGTGGCCTTGGGAGTAACTCAAAAGCAGAAATTTTGTTCTACTAATTTAATACTCCTAGTGAATCTTTGTAGTGCCTGGCACATCGTAGGCAATAACTACGTTTTGAGAAAATGAAAGAATGAGAGATTAACCAGTGGAACTGAAAGAGATGGCATCCTTTAGGTTTCCCCTGAGATAAAAAGGACAAATTAATCCATGGAGACTTTCCAAAAGCTATAAGATAAATCTGTTGTGTTTTGTTTTGTTTCTGTGTTTTTGCTCAAACAGGGGCCATTTAAAGCCAAAGCAGGTTGTTGCCGCTGGAGATGCCTGATACACCATCTGAAGACAGACATAAGAAAATTCTGACAAATGTTATGATCTTTGTAATATTTCCTTGAAACTCCCATCTGTTTGCTATTCTCCTGACTTTAGTTTTGACTTTCCTGAAAAATAACTGTATAACCATTAAAATGAGAGAACCTTGTGTCAGCCTTTGTCCTCTCTGAATATCTCTCCCCCTGCCATATGCAGAGCTGGAATGTCACCTGATCCTGTCCATTAGCTTCCTTCTCCCTCCTGAACTATTCCCCACATATGCACACAATAGTGACACTTTCAGATGTGATCAACCAAATTTGCATAGGTTTGTATCACCTCCTCTCTCATGTTGAGCTCATTAGTGGAACCAAAGTGCCAAACCTGTGCTCGAATCATGAGGAAACATTGGATAAATTCAAAATGAGGGACATTGTACAAAATATACAGTCCCTTCTCTTTTAGCACTCACTGAATCCTGTTAGGAACTTCTGCAACCAGTGTATAAAGTAGCAAGTTTCTACACCAACAAACCCACCTATACTAATAAAAGCCTAGGTGGGCCTCGCATGCGACATCGTCACAAGATGGCCACCACACGATGGCCACCACAAGATAGCCACCACAAGATAGCAATGCGACAGCAGAGACGGGGCCCGGCGACCGCTCCGCATGGTGAGGCCTGGGGATCCCATGGCTTCACGAGGTGCGGAGGAGGCTGGTCCAGGTGGAGGAGGTGGGTCACTACAGGGGAGGGAAGTTGGGGGCAATCGGGCAGGCAGCGGAGCAGTTAGGTGTCAATCAGGCCAGCAGGGGAGCGGTTAGGGGGCAATCAAGCTGGCAGGCAGAAGTGGTTAGGGACAATCAGGCAGGCAGGCAGGTGAGTGGTTAGGAGCCAGCGGTCCCGGATTGTGAGAGGAATGTCAGGATCGTGCTTAAACCGGCAGTCGGACATCCCCTGAGGGGTCCCAGATTGGAGAGGGTGCGGGCTGAGCTGAGGGACACCACCCCCCTGTACAAGAATTTCATGCACCACATGCCCTAACCGGTTTGGCTCAGAGGATAGAGCGTCAGCCTGCGGACTCAAGGGTCCCAGGTTCAATTCCGGTCAAGGGCATGTACCTTGGTTGCAGGCACATCCCCAGTAGGGGGCGTGCAAGAGGCAGCTGGTCGATGTTTCTCTCTCATCGATGTTTCTAACTCTCTATCCTTCTCCCCTCCTCTGTAAAAAATCAATAAAATATTTTTTTAAAAAGAATTTCATGCACTAGGCCACTAGTCTATATAATAAAAGCCTAAGCGACGTTTACTACTGAACCACCAGAACAACTGGTCGCTATGATGTACACTGACCACCAGGGGGCAGATGCTCAACACAGGAGCTGTCCCCTGGTGGTCAGTGCACTCCCACAGGGGGAGCACTGCTCAGCCAAAAGCTGGGCTCACAGCTGGTGAGCGCAGTAGCAGTGGCGGGAGCCTCTCCTGCCTCCGTGGCAGTGAGCCGAGTGTTAAGGAGCAGCGAGCAGGCGGGCAGTAAGGAGCGAGGGGTCCTGGACTGCGAGAGGGTGCAGGCTGGGCTGAGGGACACCCCACCCCCCAGTGCACGAATTGCACCGGGCCTCTAGTCTTACATAAAGCAATAGGTAAAAACGGAAAAATTTTTGCTTAATTCTACAACACAAGCAAGGAACAATACTTTAGATATTTGTCCTACACCTTATAAGGCTGTAGCTAGTTTTAATAACATCCCTCCTCCAAATACATTCCATATTCCTTATCTTTGACCAGACTTCTATTTAATTAGTCTCTTTATACAGAGGGTAACCTAATTGAACATTCTAGACAGAAGAAAATGAGCTCATGCTGGGACTTCCTGGGTAGGTTTTAATCTTTCCATCTTTCAGGCTTTCATGCCTTCTAGCTTCCATAAAACTTTACCCATTAAGACGATGCCTTATACATGCTCTAGGGCATCAGAGTCCCTCCAGTGAAGCATCAACCATATCCCCCTTTACGGTCAGGCTCACTCACTTCAGATCAAATATAACCCTTCTTTTTCTGCTCTACCAAGAGAATTTCCATGGAGGCCATAAGTGTGGATTAAGGTATACGTGATAACACTGTGAAAAGAGGCACAACTGGGAATGAAATATACCTACAATGAAATTGCCGGGTCCAATACAGACTCCTTATTCTCTTGATGGATTGCTACTAAGTACATGGGTGCCTCAAGCATTTCTCCAGAACCTTCCATTATTAGTTTTCTACCAGATAGAGCAGAAAATGCAACAGCAAAAAAATAAAATGAAAGTTAATGACCCTCCTTGTTTGCTGCCTCACATCTCTTTCATCTAAAGTTTCACGCTCTGTGCCTTCCACTGAAATAGAAAATCTTACTTTCTCTCCCCCAGAGACAGAAGGGCAGGACATTTGCTGCCATATTTACATATGACAATAGAGAGACACTTTATACAAAACACCAAGGTGTCCAGCATCCTAGGAGATATTTATTCAAATCATTATAGCCTTGGTCCTTTTTGATTCAGTTCTACTAACACCTTTCGTACGGCTCACGAGTTTTCTCGTGTTTCGCGCGCCATCTGTTAAGGACTGCTCACGAGTTTTCTCGTTTTTCACGCCCATGGAAAAAGGAGCGAATCTAGATAATTTTTAATATCCATTCTTATTATTACTGGGAGCTAGGCTAGTTAGCAAGTTAGACAAAAACGTTGACTCTTGGAACCAAGGAGCAAGGAATCTCTAGACTTCTTCCCACCTGGCCCAACAATGAGGAATAAACATCAGGAATAGGAACTTTCGTAGGTAAATCAACTAGAAAATCCGGAAATAGATCCAAGTAAATTAAGAATATCATTAAAGATTTTTTAAAATAAAATAGTATTTTTTTAAAAATATGATAAAGTTAGCATTTCAGATCAAGGGAAATTTTGATATATTTCTCAATAAATGATAATATAATTTGTTATTTATTTGGTATAATAGTCAAATTAGATCCCTACCTCCACATCATATGCAGAAATAAATTTCAAATATATTAAGGTTGTAAATGTAAAAAATAAAATTATTAACTTATATAAGAAAACATTTTGCTAAATTTGGAGTGATGGGGGACTTTCTAATAAAGGCAGAAAACTCAGAAGCCTCTAAATGTGTTTGGGTATTTATGAATGACAGATTTAATTAAATAAATATCTATAATAATAAAAGCATAATATGCTAATTAGACCAGATGGCCGAACAGCAGAACCACCACCCGGACGACCTTCTGGACGAAGCCTGAGCTTCGAGGGCTGAGCCCCTTGCACAAATTTCATGCATCGGGCCTCTAGTATGTACGTAATTACATAAATGTTAAAAGTACTCAATTGAAGAAACCACAACAGTATTCAAGGACAAATAATATCCCAGAAGAAAACATTTACAACAAATGTAACTATTAAGACTCAGAATTTATAAAGTATCTTGTAAATCATTAAGAAAAAAAGATATCTCAAGGCAAAAATAACCAAAGTGTAAGAAGAGGTAATTCACAAATTCAACATGCCAATACCCAGGCTAAAATATTCCAATCCCCACTATTAGGGAAATGTAATTTAAAACAATGGTCTGCCACTTTGCACTCATTAGATTTACTACAAAAAGAAGTGTTGGCAAGGCTGTGATGAATTGGGTAATATCTGCTGAATTTTATAATGCTTACCTTTGGACAAAAAACCCACTTCTAAAAATGTATGCCATAGAAATAATTTTACATAAAGATTCATGTACAACAATATTTGCTACAGCATTATCTGTAATTATCTATCAAAAACAACCTAATTGGCCATTAATACAAAAGAAGTTAGCCTAGCTGGTGTAATTCAGTGGTTGAGCATCGAACCAGGAACCAAGAGGTCTCTGGTTTAAGCAGGCCCACTGGAGAGTGTGCAGGAGGCAGCCAACCGTTGATTCTCTCTCATCATTGATGTTTTTGTCTCTCCCTCTCCCTTCCTCTCTGACATCAATAAAAAATATATTTTTTAAATATAAAAATGTTATGATACGTTGATATAATCCATATA